ATGCTCGTTTGCTAGCAAAACTAAAAAAAATAACGCTATATTTTATAAATTGCCCTTGTTATATGCAGGAAATCGCAAAATCCGTAAAAAAAAATTCATTAAAAATCAACGCGATTTTTTAGCCGCTTAAAACTTGTACTTGTTTCACTAGAATTACATAGCCGATTTATGTGCGTACCCAAAATTTTTCCAAAAATTCAGATTAAAATGTTAAAAATTAAGATAAAATTTTTTTGAAGTTTTCTACGTTCTGCATAAAGTTTGAAAGTTTGATTTATGTGGTTTTGATTAAAGTATGGTTAACTTAAAAAAACAAACAAAATTTAACTTGAAAAACATTGCAAATATTAAACAAAAAACCCCATGCACTCACTCTAGATTGCCAGTGTATGGATGTATGTATGTAAATCGAGATTTTTGAGGAAGTTTTTAATTTTTCTTGCACATTCGTTAGTGCGTGGCCGAGCTGCTGCGGCTTGATGTTGACCTTCAGTTTTACGCCGCCTCCGAACGGCAATGGTTTTAATAGGGGTATTCTCTGAGTCTTGCAAAGCCCTTGCACGGTGCACGGATTGCACGGTTTGCAAAGCTGTCCCATACGAAAACCGGTTTTAACCGTGCAATCTGTGCAATCTGTGCACCATGCAAGGGCTTTGCAAGACTCAGAGAATACCCCTAATGTTTCACAAACGTAGACTAAAAATAAGCTGATACATATATTTATTGCATAAAACGGAATTATTTTTTAATTTGAGAAATTCGTAATTCTATCGACATATTTCTTAAAAAAAAAAAACACAACTTTATCATTACTATTATTTCGTTAAAACTTTACAAATTCTCAGAAGTCGTTTCAATCCATGAATGCAGGGATGCTACGTTGGTGCAAACGGCTGGGCTGTCTTTGTTTGCACAGCCATAACCCCAGGAAATCAAACCAACTAACTTATTATTTGACACCAAAGGGCTTCCCGCTGGGCCACCACAAGCATCAGTATCCTCAGGAAGAGCACACAACATTGTATTGAATAAATCACCTTCTGCGTATTTATACTTTCCTGAAGTGCAGTCCTCAATACTTAATATAGTTTCAGCAAATTCCGCAACAGTGTTGTTCGCATCAAAACGAACGAGTATGCCAGTGGAACCGGAAGCCGGTTGCTCGGTAGCCAATTCCAAGTAATTAGCGTTCACAGATTCGGCCAACTTCAAGACGGCAATATCATTTTCCATTGTGACAAAATCGAAGTAAGCATCAAAAGAGTATGCTGCTATTTGTATGACCTTAGCGCCATTATCTACAGCCACAACCAATTGATCAGGATCGTAGAAAGCCAAGCACGTAGCAGCAGTGACAACGGTTTCATTGTCAATTAAACTACCAGCACAGATGCGACCTCCACTATTTCCTTCGACTGAGACAAGGAAGGAATTATCGCTTATGGAGATGGGCTTGCTACCTTTAATTGCCACAGCATATGTACTTGTAGCTGCGATCAACAAAAATAAACTGCAAATAAATTGATTTGACATTTTATGAATAGAAAAAAATTCAAGTTCTCGTAAGGGAAGTTACTCGTAAATAGTGCGAAATCTGATACTAGCCCGACACTAGGTTTTGCGCTCTTATATAGAGTTCCATTCGCCGGCCGTAAAATAATTTTAAGGTAATCTCAAAAAAGTTAGCTAATAAATCAATTATGGAGATAAAACGGTTGAGATAAAAAAATTGTTTACCATTGGCAACACGATTACTGCGATATTATAACTAGTAGTATTACCATAGCAGCGCAATATCAATCAGAATTTCCACTACAACTTTTTTGCCATTTTCTTTTCGCAATTTTCCCAATTAACGCCAAATTCAGGAGGTACACGAGCAAAACGGATTTCATATTCGGATTCAGTGGGTCGAAAAACATGTCGATAGGTGGGTCTGGTTAAAAGCACACACCATTTGAGAAAATAGTTTAGTTACAACAACTAAATATGTTTCTCTCAACACGTGATTTGGTTACAGTTACACCAAATCTTGTGTTGAGAGAAATATATTTGGCTGCCTTTTTTCTGAGTGTATGTATGTACATACATATATATAAGTATGCATGTATATACCAGGGATGTTGCAAATATTCGCATTCGCATTCGTTATGCTAATTATTCTTTCTTCTTCTTCTTTATTCGGCGCTGTAACCGCCTTAGCGATTTTGACCGAGTCCAAAACAGCACGCCAGTCATTTCTCTTCTGTGCTAACTGACGCCAATTGGAAATGCCAAGTGAAGCCAAGTCCTTCTCCACCTGGTCTTTCCAACGCAGAGGAGGCCTTCCTCTGTTACCAGCATCGCGGCCCGCTTTGAATATTTTCAGAGCAGGAGCGTTTCTGTCCATTCGAACGACATGACCAAGCCAGCGGAGCCGCTGAATTTTAATTCGCTGCACTATGTCTATATCGTTGTAAAGCTCATACAGCTCATCGTTAAAACGTCTGCGATATTCGCCATCACCAACGCGTAAAGGTCCGTAAATCTTTCGCAGAATCTTTCTCTCGAAAACTCCAAGAACCGCCTCATCAGATGCTTTCATTGTCCATGCTTCCGCGCCATACACCAGCACAGGCATGATGAGTGACTTATAGAGTGTGATCTTTGTACGACGAGAGAGGACTTTACTTCTCAATTGCCTACTCAGCCCAAAGTAGCACTTGTTGGCTAGAGTGATTCTCCGTTAGATTTCAAGGCTGACATTATTATTTGTGTTAATGCTGGTTCCCAAATAAACGAAGTCGTCTACTTTTTCAAACATGTAACTGTCAACAGTGACGTGGGTGCCAAGACGCGTATGCTCTGACTGTTTGTCTGATGACAGGAGATACTTCGTTTTCCTCGTTCACCACCAGACCCATTCGCTTTGCTTCTCTATCCAATCCCGAGAAGGCAGAACAGACGTAACCCTTGTTTTTACCGACAATATCGATGTCGTCGGCATACGCCAGCAATTGTACGCTCTTGTAAAGTATTGTGCGTGAGCGGTTCAGTTCTGCGGCTCTTATTATCTTCTCCAACATCAGATTAAAGAAATCACACGAAAGGGAGTCCCCTTGTCTGAAACCTCGTTTGGTATCAAACGGCTCGGAGAGGTCTTTACCTATTCTGACGGAGCTGGTGGTATTGCTCAACGTCATTTTACACAGCCGTATTACTTTCGCGGGGATACCAAATTCAGACATCGCGGCATAAAGGCAACTTCTCTTCGTGCTGTCGAAAGCGGCTTTGAAATCGACAAATATATGGTGTGTGTCGATCCTATTCTCGCGGGTCTTTTCCAAGATTTGGCGTATTGTGAATACTTGATCTATGGTGGATTTTCCAGGCCTAAAGCCACACTGATAAGGTCCAATCAGCTCGTTTACGGTGGGCTTCTGTCTTTCGCACAATACACTCGACAAGACCTTATAACCTATGCTTAGATGGCTGATTCTGCGGTAGTTGGCGCATATGGGGGGGTCGCCTTTCTTGTGGATTGGGCAGAGCACACTTAAATTCCAGTCGTCGGGCATGCGTTCATCTGACCATATTCTGCATAAGAGTTGATGCAAGCACCTCATCAGCTCCTCGCCGCCGTACTTGAATAGCGCGGCTGGCAGGCCGTCAGCTCCAGCAGCTTTGTTGTTTTTCAGCCGCGTAATCAATATTCGTACCTCGTCATAGTCAGGCGGTGGGACAGTTACTCCATCATCATCGACTGGGGACTCGGGTTCGTCTTCTTCACTACTTTCAGCGCTGCTGCCATTCAGTAGGTTGTAAAAGTGGTCCCTCCACAATTTAAGTATATTCTGGACATCGGTCGCTAGGTCGCCATTGTTGTTCTTACAGGAGTTCGCCCCGGTCTTGAAACCTTCCGTAAGTCACCTAACCCTCTGGTAGAATTTTCGGGCGTTCTTCCTGTCGGCCAGCATCTCAAGCTCTTCGCACTCACGTATTTCGGCCTCTCTCTTCTTATTACGGCAAATACGTCTCGCTTCCTTCTTCAGTTCCCTATACGGTCCCACATGGCTCGTGTTGCGCCCGATCGCAGCGTGGCCCTGTAGGTGGCATCTTTTTTCTCTGCGGCTTCTTGACATTCCTCATCGTACCAGTTGTTCTTTCGGGCTCGCTGAAATCCAACTACTTCTTCGGCGGCGGTACTTAATGATCGGGAAATGTGGTTCCACTGCTCGCGTATGTCGGATTGTTGAAGAGTGCTCTCAGAGAGCAGGGTTGTGAGTCGAGTGGCGAATAAATTGGCCGTCTGTTGTGATTGCAGCTTTTCGACGATAAGCTTTCCTTGCATTGGTGGGCGCACATTTTTTGCTGCACAGAGGCACGTGCGTATCTTGGCTACAACAAGATAGTGGTCCGAGTCGATGTTTGGTCCTCGGAGTGTACTTACGTCTAAAACGCTTGAAGCAAGCCTTCCGTCTATCACAACATGATCGATTTGGTTTCTCGTTTTTCGATCTGGAGACAGCCATGTAGCTTGGTGGATGTTCTTATGCTGGAATCTAGTATTACATATTACCATGTTTCGGGCCCCGGCGAAGTCGATCAGCCTCAGTCCGTTATCGGACGTTTCGTCGTGGAAGCTGAATTTTCCGACAGTGGCGCCAAAGATCCCTTCCTTGCCCACCTTGGCATTAAAATCGCCAAGCACAATTTTGACATCGTGTCTGGGGCAGCGCTCATATGTACGTTCCAAGCGCTCATAGAAGAGATCCTTGGACGCCTCATCCTTCTTTTCCGTCGGGGCATGGGCGCAGATGAGCGAGATGTTGAAGAATCTAGCTTTGATGCGGATTGTGGCTAGACGTTCGTCCACCGGGGTGAACGCCAGTACTCGGCGACGGAGTCTCTCTCCTACCACGAATCCAACACCGAATTTGCGCTCCTTTACGTGGCAACTGTAGTAGACGTCGCAAGGCTTCACGCTTATTTTTCCTTTCCCCGTCCATCACATTCCTTGGATGGCGGTGATGTCAGCCTTTGTCTTCCCGAGGACATCAACCAGCCGGACAGAGGCACCTTCCCCATTAAGGGCCCGGATATTCCAGGTGCATACCCTTAAATCATAGTCCTTTATACGTTTGCCGTGGTCGTCATCAGAAAAAGGGGGTCTCATCCGAGGCTTTTTAGATTTTTTCATTGGGCGGGGTTTTAACGTGGCGGGACCCAAGCCCAGCGCACGCGAAATTTTACGCCTTCTCACTTTAGCTCGCTCCCAAACGGGTGTTTGGTTGCACCCCAGAGGATACGTGGATATAAATATCCGGACGTTGTGAGCTGCGATTTGAACCGTACGCACATGAATCGCTTCTGGCCACTTCAGGTGAATGGCAGTCAGAAGTTTTCCACTTCTGCGCACGGAACCATCCTCCATGTATTTACATACCTGTATATAATATGCATGCATGTATATACCAGGAATGTTGCGAATATTCGCATTCGTTATGCGAATGATTCGCTAAATAAAATAACGAAATAGGCTAGAAAAGGCAAAATAAAATAGGCAGGAAAAGGCACTAGAAATGAGGAATAAGGGCTGTTTCCTTGCCATTTACAATGAAAGGTTTAAAAGCCAAAAAAGGCAACATCAAGTGAGTATATATGGAATCAGGGAAAGCTAAATCGTGGACATTCTCAATCGAATATATTCTATCTATTTAGCAGAAAAAAGGCAATTTCCATAAAATCCGCTCCCTGCTTATAAGCAACCTAGAAATAATTTTAGACATTGGAAACATTAAAAAATGTGAAATTAATGATCAATTGAAGGCCTATCTTAAAGAAAAACGAGCTCATCTCGGTGAAAATCCTCTCGATTGGTGGAAAACTAAACTAAAATACGACAAATTACCAGATCTGGCCCGCAAATATTTGAGCGCTCCACGATCCACGATCCTCTAAGAAATCGCCTGCTGGGGGAAAAGGCAGCAAAATTAAATTTTTTGAAATATCATATGCCCCTTTTGGAAATTTGTCTACTAGATTTAAACAGTATATAGGTTAAGCACTCGTTCAATATTCTAATAATTTACAAAACTTTTTGTTGATTTTTTTTATACAAAAAATAATTTATTTTAAAGCTATCTCAAACTCTGTTGGAAAGCCGATTTAATTACGCAAATTTTCATTACTTAACTGATTTCTGTATAAAAGAAATTTTCAGACCAAAAAAAAACGTTTAGGTGCAAATTTTGTATGGAATGACCCATATACATAAATATACATATGTATGGCGCTACTTAAATATCACAATCGGCATATTTGTAACGTTTTTAATAATCACACATTTTCTTTACAGTTTGCGTATCCATTTCATTCAAGTGAAGCCAAAATCCACCGAAGGCAAGAAAGTGATTCCTCTGCTGCTGCTCCATGGCTGGCCAGGATCAGTACGCGAATTTTTCAAAATTATTCCCCTGCTTACGAAACCGAACCCCAAGAGCGCCTACGTTTTCGAAGTGATTGCACCTAGTTTACCTGGTTATGGTTGGTCTCAGGTAATAATATCCGGCATGGAAACCATCTGTGATTTAAAATTCTAATTAATTTTTTTCCTCCACATTCAGGGCGCCTCAAAGACTAACTTTGGTCCAGCTCAGATGGCTGTGGTTTTGCGTAATTTGATGTTACGTTTGGGACATGACAAATTTTTAATACAAGGTGGCGATTGGGGTTCCATAATCGGATCGCATATAGCCACTCTGAGACCTCAAAATGTACTTGGTTATCATTCAAATTTTTGCTTTAGTAATCACCAATTAACGTTGTTATATAAATTTGTACGCTACCTGTTGCCGTCATACTTCATAAAAGACGAATACAGCGCTTTCTTTAAACCATTGGGCGAAGAGTTTACGTTCAGCATGGAAGAGACCGGTTATCTACATATTCAAGCAACCAAACCAGATACTATTGGCGCCGCGCTCTCGCAGAACCCCGTGGGCTTGGCTGCATACATTCTAGAGAAGTTCTCTACTTGGACCAATCCTGAAAAAAGAAAACTTGAAGATGGTGGTTTAACTAAACGTTTCACGCTGGATGAGCTTTTGGATAACATTATGATCTACTATATAACAAACTCGATAACCACATCGCAGCGTTTGTATTCGGAAGGATTCAATATGGCGCAAATGGGCTTGAACCTGGATGCGGTTCATCTTAGTACGCCCACCGGTTGTGCTCGATTTGTGTACGATTTAGCTCATTTAACGGATCAGGAACTTAGCGCTAAGTTTAAGAATATTATACATAGCACATACCACAAAGAAGGTGGCCATTTTGCAGCCATGGAAGTACCGAAGTTACTCTATCAAGACTTTGTAGAGTTTGCCGAAAAAGCTTTAGCCAATAAGTTATAGCCAAATTTTGTAATCTAATCACTTGTTAGTGTGTAGATTTTCTCTTTCCTGCACAGACTTGGAGTTTTCTGTTTGAAATTTGTTGGTTAAAATAAAAATTATATTTTTATAAACTATACAATATATGCGGCCATGAGGGCCAGAGGATCCTATCTACAAAAAAAAATTGTGTTCTCAGCTTTTTTTGAACTGTTAGTAGGGCTACTCTGGCGCTCACGGCCTCATATGTTAATATTAATTTATTTCCGATTTCGGAAAAAATGGTAATGCACAAAGATATTTGATACCCATTTTGTGCCCACAGTTTGAAAAATTTTTTATAATAATAAGAATTCAGGTTTAAAGGGTGTTTTGAGGTCGCTGAAATTGAATCAGATATCAAAAGAACAAAAAAAAAATGGCCTAATCAATATGGCCAATATTGATGTTAAAAATAATAACAGCAATAATAATAGTTTCTGGGGTCGCTTAATTCGAATCTTAAATCAAAATAAACAAAAGGCAAAATGGCCAATTCAATATGGCACCTGAAGTTAAAATATGTGTGTTTAATTTGAAAAATATTTGTTAAATTCACGTTACATTGATTCATTTTAGGTTTTTTAAGTTTGTATTAAAATTCTTAAATAAAAATGCTTTTGAATTATAATGATATTATGTTTACGTGTATCTAACAAGAAATTGATAAAAAGAAAAAATAATAATTTAAAAAAAAAATCTTTAGAAAAACTTTCAATATTACGTAATACAAAATCGCATCTTAAACAAAATGTCGGATACGGCGGATTCAATATTTTTAACATAAATCAAAATTATCTTAAAATAAATATAATTTTTTGTGGTTGAAACATAAAGAAAATGACTTATTATTTTTTCGTTAAACTGTTTTCTATCAACCAGTTGAATATACCAAAAAATTTTTCAATTAAAACTTAAACAGAACTCACCTGTAGAAGAAAAACCCATTTTACAAAATTTAAATCGATAGCGCCTATGGCTTTCGGCGTTTTTTTTTTAAATTAAGCATTACATTTTTTACTTTTCAGAGCGCTGCGTCCACTAACACTTTCACACGGATCATACAAACAGGTGCAAATGGTCGGGAATATTT